CGATGAAAGACTCTGTATATGTCAATTATGTCCGTTTGATCTAATGTGTGATTTAAGGCTGATAATTCTTGACTGACTCTGTTTGGATGATCTATCTGGAGCTGTCAGTGGAGGATTAAGGTCCCCAACCATAATCGTGTTTTGGTCTGTTTCTCTCTTTAGCTCTGTGAGTAATTGTTTTATATATTTTGGTGCTCCTTGATTGGGTGCATGTATATTAAGAAGTGTCATGAATTCTTGACGTAGTGTCCCTTTACCATTATAATACATCCATCTTTATCTCTTTTTACCTTGGTTATCTTGAAATCTATTTTGTTAGATATAAGTATGGCTACAGATGGTTTTCTGTGGAGGTTATTTGCTTGGAGAATTATTTAGCACTGTTTCACTTACCTTTGTCTTTGCAGCTTAGATGTGTCTTTGAAGGCAGCACATGGTTGGGTTTTGTGTTTGATCTAATCTCTTAGTCTGCACCTCTTCACTGGTGAATTCAGTTCATTTACATTGGTGGTAATTACTGATGTATGAGGATTTCCTATAGCCATTTGAGCCTTTGTTTTCTGATGAGCTCTGTGCCTCATAGTTTCTTTTCCTTTGTGTTTCTGCTGATTAATTTTGTTTGGTGGTATTCCATGCTCCTTTAATTTGTTTCTTTTTTTAAGCTATGCTTAAAAATCTCATGGATTTTTTTTTTTGTGGGCATGTTACCAGTGAGTTTAATTAAAAAGTTGCATATTTACAGTAGATTTTCTTTTCTTTTGATGCATCTGCTCTCCATCCTCCCTTGCAAGTTCAAACCTTTGCACCCTCCCCTTTTATGTTTCTGTTGTCACAAAGTATCCCTGTTTATGCTGTAAGGTTTTTTTCTTTTTCTGTGATCTTACTCAAAATGTGGTGAGCTTTTACTCTTTGTTTCAGGTGGAATAATTCCCTTGAATATTTCCTGCAGTGGAGGTTTTCTGGTGATAAATTTCCTGAGCTATGTATGACTGGAAAGGTCTTTATTTTTCCTTCAACTTAAAGGATAACTTTGCTGGATATATTTTTTCTTGGTTGGTAATGTCTGCCTTTTAGTATTTTGATTTTTGGTTCCACTCTTTTCTGGCTTATATTTTCTGGGAGAAGTTTGATGATAACCTGATGGGCTTTCTTTTGTAGGTCACTTTCATTTTTCCTTGGGTGCTTTGAGAATTTTTTCTTTTTTATTAATTTTTGGCAGTTTTAATAACATGGGCCTCTTTGGATTAAGTTAACTAGATGTTCTGTTTGCTTTCAGATTTGAGGATCTAGTTCTTTTCACAGGTTTGGGAAGCTCTCATCCACTATTTGTTTGAATAGGCTCTCTGTTCCCTTCTCCCTTCTCCTTCTGGTGTACCTATAATTCTCATATTGCTTTTTCTGACTGAGCCTGGCAGTTCTTGTAGAGCTCTTTCATTTCTCTATGCTCAGTTCTCACTTGTTTCCTCTGCATCATTTCTAGATTTTTATTTTCAATATCACTAATTCTTTCCTCCATCTGATTGGCTCTGTTTTCTACACTGAGTAGTTCATTCTTGCTCTCCTGTATTGAATGCTTCTTCTCCAGGACTTGTTTGGCTCTTTCTTAAAATTTGGTCTCTTTGGTAAAGTACTCAATTTGTTCATTAATTTATTTTCTGAGTGCTTCGATTTGCCTGTTTCTATTTTCTCGCATGTTGTTGAGTGTTTTCAGAACTGCAATCTTGAATTCTCTGTTATTTATATCACATATTTCCCTGTGTTCCAGGTTGCTTTCTGGAGATTTTCCATTTTCTTTCTCAGATGCCTTACTCCCTTGGTTATTCATGGTATTTGTTGGGCTCCTTTTATGTCTAGGCATCCATGCATTGGTAATTCACTAGCAGATTTCTATGAAGAGGTCTTTCTACTATTTTCCAGCATGTGGCAGGAAATCACAAGTTTTTAGCTCTGTGAAATCCTAAAGCTGACCTCTGTGGCTGCAGTTAGCATGTCACATACAGCCGTGATGTTTGGGGGTAGGGTTTGTTTTGCCCACTCGGTAATGTGACTTCAGACTTCAGATGAGTGACTTCCTGTGCCCCAAATGGGGATCAGTCACCAAGGTAAATGAGGATTTAGATGTAACAGTCCTTGGGTTTACAGGTGACGTGCTCCAAAACTTTACAATAATGATGCCAGGGAGGTGAAATCTGGGAGCTTAAGGGGCATGAGGGCTCTGGGGATCCTTTCTTTGTTGGAAACACTGAGTGTAAGACAGCTGAACATCGTGGCAGAACCACTGTGCCTTATCCTAGTCCAGGATTCCTGGCCACCTGCTGGCTACGCTGCAGTTTGCACCACTCACTCCTGCAGAAGTTCCACTGAGACTGCTTCTCCCAGATGAAGGAAGCACCAGCTACAGCTAGCTTTGTCTCCTCTCTGAGTTGAACCTACTGCAAACTTCAGGCTGCAGGGCGGTGTCTGTGGCCATCTGAGCCCTCCTCCTTTCTCACCTTGCCCGTTGGCTCACCTTTAGATACTTCCATATGTGGATCTCTCAGGCCTGCTTGTATGTTGAGCAGGGAATCTTTTGTTAAGTTATAGCTGATCAAATTGTTGAAATTTCAGGCGCAGATACCAAGGGGATCTCGTGTGCCACCATTCCTCTGACACCAACCCACTCTTCTTAAAAATAATTTTTCTGTAGTTGCAATTTGTGATTGACAGTTATTTTCTCCAAACTTTGAGAATATCATTCACATCTTTTGCTTCACATTGCTTCTGCTGAAAAATCAGGCGATGTCCTAATTTCAGCACCTTGCTCAATAATCTTTCTGGCTGCCATTAAAACCTGCCCTGAGACTTTTGCATTTTGTAGATTCACTATAATTGATTCAGTGCTAATTTATCTCTTTCCTCTCTCACGCTTTGGATTTTTAAGATTTCTCCTTGTTAGAATTGAGGGCAGACAAGGAGCTTCCCAGACAAGAAAAATGAAAGGAGTTCATCGTCACCAAACAGTATTATATAGAATATAATATTTTACATTATATGAAATGTTACATTAAGGGACTTATTTTAGAAAAAGAAAATAAAAACTATGAACAATAAAATGACAATAAAAACAGATCTATCAACAACTGAATCTAAAAAACAAACTAAGCAAATAAGAACAGAGACAGAATCATAGATGCAGAGAGTATTTTGATGGTTGCCAGATGGGAGGTGGGTGTTGGGGAATGGGTGAAGACGTGAGGAGATTGAGAAGTACAAATAGGTAGTTACAGAATAGTCACAGGGATGTAAAGTACAGCATAGGTAAAGGACTAGCCAAAGAACTTATATACCTGACCCATGGACATGAACAATGGTGTGGGTATTGCCTGAGGGAGTGGGGGGTGTCAGGGACCACTTTGTGTGGTATTGGAGACTGTAGCCCCATGCAAGCAGGGCTTGAAAGAGGCCTGTAAGTATCCACTGGAATGCCTGAAATGCTGGAGGCAGGCATGACCTGATACTAGCATGGAAGGTTCCCTAGGAAATCAGGCCTAAAGAATGCATTATACCCTTTGAAGCTTGCTTTGCTTTGTATAGCCCTGTTGATATAGACCAGATGTTTAAATTCAAAGCATAAGGGAGTGGACTCCTAATCTCATGAACCATGCCTTAACGACCCTCTGGTGTCAGCATATCTAAAAGACCTTGACCTGAGGCAGATCTCTGTGTTTCCTCAGTTGTTATCTATGGATAATATCTGTTCTCTGTAACTATGGCCTTTAGACTTTGGTTGATAAGTTTTACATGCCTGCTGTATACCCCTGCACATACTGAGCCCAATAAAATCTGTTTCACAGAAGGACTCAGGGCATTCTCCACTAAAGGGAATTGCCACCCCCTTCCCCACTGGAAGAACAGATTGTGTCCAGGCACAACTCATTCTCATTTGTGGCGACTGGGAGAGATCCACCGGATGGGGCACCATACAGGGGGGCGCTGGGTGGAGGGGGACAAGGAGGGAAAAACTGGGACAACTGTAATAGCATAATCAATAAAATATAATTAAAAGAAAAAAGAACTCACATCTTTCAGCAATTCTAATAATTTATTTGCAAATCTCTGTTTGAATATTATACCTTCTACATTTTCTGTATAATATCCTTCTGGAATTGTGATTAAAAGTATGTTAGGCCTTCTCATAGTATGTTCATGTCAGTTTATCTTTTCTTATATTTTCTGTCATTTTAGCTTATTTTCAAACTTGATTTATTATTTTTAATGGTTTATTGCTTCTCACTCATGCTTTAAGGACTATTTTTAGGACTGATACCTGGTACCTGATATTTCTGTTGGTTCTCACATATGATGCCTTGTTGGTTTCTGAGGTTTTTTGACTGAGAGCCTATACCTTTTGTAACTTTATCTGTGGGAAGTCTTTGGAGGTGGGAGAGTTTGGGATAACCATGTAACCATTCATGCCTCCATCTCCTACTGGGTGCCCTTCTTTTCTGGCTTGAGCTCTCCCTTGGAGTCTGGTGACACTGTTTCTTTTCTCTGACTGTGGCAGTACCAATGGCTTTTCATTTGTTGTTAGCCTTCAGGGGCCCCAAACCTTTCTTGTTTGTTCACTTAGCTTTACTTTGCAAACAGTCTTGTCTTTGGAAAGTCTTTTTGAAAATCCCAACTGAGTATATTATGTTTCCTCCAGGGACCCTGAGTGATACCATCTATTTGAAGAGAACTTACTAAGTGCTGGTTATTATTGTTATAGAGGAGACTACTTTTAATTGAAGGAAATTCAAGTAATTCAGGCAAAAATAATTATGAGGCTTGGGAATAAAAATGTTTTAAAAAGTATGCCTCGAGCACAGTGGAATGAGAGAGAAAGCTGTCTGCACTTCTGTAACCCTCCCTCAGCCTGTGTAAAGAAGCCATAAACTCCTCCCTCAGGACATCACCAACTGAAGCAATTCCAGGCCCATTCTCACCACCATCACCTGCCCTCCACACCCCCACTTGCTTACCTTGGAGATCTACAAAGTGAGGGAGGTACACAGCTGCCACAGCCCCTGGTTCAGCCTTGATGTCAAACAGAGGCCCTGCCACCACCCAGCTGTGCTGTGGGTCAATCTGGTCCAGGAACTGTCTCCAGGCACAGAATTCAACCTCAATGGTCACTGGCCTCCTCACCACAAAGTGGAGACCCATGTTGGGCCAATGGTAGGAGCCAGCCATGGGGAAGTGAACTCTGGGAGAACAGGGAGAGGTAGGCAGTGAATTACTCATTCTACACAACCTCACTGAGTACCTACTGAATGTCTGACCCCATGCACGGCCCTGTGTGTCCAGCAGGGTGGCTGCAAGCTCAGATACCATCATCAGAGGGATGTGGGTTTGAGACCTGGCCCCTCTGCTCTCTACTGTGGATCCCTGAGCAAGTCATTGATGTCCCTCATCTCAGTTTTCTTATGTGTAAGTAAAGTAAGAATAGCGCCACCTCCTGGAGTTGTGAGTGATAAGTGACCTAATGTGTGCTGACCCCTACTATGTGCCTGGGCAGTGTTAGCTGTTCCTATAATGGTGATGGGAGTGATAGTAATAATAATAATAATAATAATAATAATAATAATAATAATAATAATAATAATAATAATATTAATGATAACAAAATAAGGAAGGGTTATTGTTTTTAAGGGGCCCATTTTTCTATAATTAAAACAATTTATATGGTGCTATTAATGCTAACCTCTTGGACAATATAGAAATGCCATACAAAGATCATACACTTTACCCAGGTTCCCTGTGGGTAAAAAGTGGGTCCCTGGGATGTGTAGTGTCTGTGTGTAAGTTGGGGGTAATACTGTCTCCCAGCTGAGATCATGCCTGTGATAGGGAATGGCACTGTGTGATGTAAGAGCTGGGGACTAAAATTATAGACGCTTATTACTTAGGACTGGGAACCCTGTGGAGGCAGGGCTGCCACATGCAGGTCAGGGCTCCTCGTTTCTGGCATGGTCCTTTACAGAGGGGATATTTATAAAGCAGGAACGTGTAGATGGAATGAGATGTAAATGAGATTTATGAGACATAGCAAACCAAATACAATGAAGGGACTTTGTCTGGACCCTGATTGGAAGAGACCACCTGCAAGGACACATCTTGGACAATTGAGCAGATCTGAATACAGACTGAGTGTTAGATGACAGGGAAATAACTTGTAAACGTTGTTAGATATGATAGTGGTGTTGTGGTTATGTAAGAAAAGGCCTTTATGTGTATTTTTCAAAGTGCATCACAAAATATGTAAGGATAAATCACCTGATCACTTGGATTTAAAACCCTGTAACAACAAACTGGGGACAAGTGAAGAGTTGAAACAAGCATGGTAAAACGGTTGTCGGAGCCGAGTAATTGGGACATGGAAGTTCTTTGGACTCTATTTTTTGGTGTCTTTGCAACTTTTCTTAGTAAAATTGCTTTTTCCATAATATAAGCTCCAACCCAGTATCTCAGCCTTGCCTCTGCCTGTTGGCTTGGCAACAGAGAGAACCTAGTGGGCCATGAATGCGGTGTGGAGTGTCTGTAGGGATCCAATGTGGGGGTGGTCAGCCTGGCACAGGGAGTCCCCTCACTCACCGGTATAGACTCTTGTCTTTGTCAACCATCTCAGGAGCCACGGACCCTGTGGGGCCCCAGAAGTCATCTTCAGTCCCTGCAGGCTTCACTGGTAGATCACCCAGAGTCTCAGAAGACAGACAGAAGGATTCCACCTGTGCTATGTGAGGGGAGCTCCCCTCTGGAACAGCAGGGTGGTGGTCAGCTTTAGGTTCTCCTTTCTGGTCCCCCTAACCCCTCAGCTCCCCCATGGAAGGCCCTTCCCAAGGCCGGTCTGCCAGGACCTTGGCAGGCAGTGTGTCTGGAACCTCTGCCCCTGCTCCTGGGGCAGCCTGCCTGCTGTGTGAGGAGGCCAACACTGCTGCCCCCTGACCACACCCCTGCTACCTCCCCCTTCCCACTGGTCCAGAGGTATTGCTATTCCAGCCTCCACTAGGAAGGTAAGTTGTGAGAGGAACATGGCTCAAAAATGGATGGCCAGGGATGAAGAGGGCACTCCCAGGCCTCAGAAGCCCAGTGTGGGCCTTGGGAGACTGGGCCCTGGTCAGAGTCTGAGATATGCTGGCGATGTTCTGGAGAGGAGGGGGCTCAGCCCCTGAGGCTGGGAGAGAGGGAAGCAGAATCTTGCAAGGTTCCAGGTGTGGATGTTCTCACATGGGGCAGGGCTGTGTGAGGGGGCATTTTGGCATGTCCCACACCAGAGGCAGGGGGATGGAGGGGATGACCTTCCACATACCTGCACCCCTGTCCCAATTAATGATGCTCCCAGCCTGGCCCCTTCAAAGTACCTGATTCTGCTATCTGCCGTTTGAGTGGGGATGTGTCATTATCCATCTCTCCTTTACCTGGGGCCTCTTTAGGGATCATCAGACTTGGCTTCCTAGACACAGAGTTGTTTATTGTCCCTGAGATGTTGGAGGAAGCTGTTTCTGCCTACACAACATCCCCCTTAAATTCAACTCATCTGAATTTCTACTGATTGCCTCCATCTGAGATTCCCACAGGCCGTCTCTGTGCACAGCCCCCAACAACCCAGCTAACCAGGCCAGAACTAGGGTGTAGTTCTGACTCCCTACTCCCTCTGAGAGCAGATGGATCATGTTGACACTGATGCTAGAATAGCTCTCCTTTCTAGTCCCTTCTCTCTCCCTCCATGCCCTCCACCCCAGCCCCCTCCTGGGATTCTGGCTTAAACCATGTAATCCTCTCTTTAGTGGTCCCCTGCTTCTTCTATTGTCCATCTCTGCACAATTTCTACACAACAGCTGAGCTTCAATACGAACCCAAGTCAGCACTTTGCTGCTGAAGCCCTGCAATCTCTATTACTTTTGGGGTTGGAATCAAAAGTTCTTGATATGGTCCAAGGCCTGCCTGTGCCCCTGTTCCCACCATCCTATCCCTGACCTGATTCTCACCTGTGCCCAGTCTCCCTGCTCACTCACGTCCAGTCCAGTGCTTCTCAAAGACCCACACCAAGAGGTCTTTTTAAAACACAGATCCTGTGCTCAACCCAGAGACTTTGATTCAGAAGGTTTGAATGGTGCTTGATATTTGCATTTTTTTTTGCTACTTTGAAACTATGTTTCCTAAAGGTGGGGACAGTATAACAAGGAAGGGCTTAGGATAAAAGAAGCAACGGGAGAGAGTAGAGGACAGGCTGCTTTGGTTCACTGGGAAGTCAGAGAAAAGGTGCCTTTGAGGAAAGTTTAAGGGGTTAGCAGGGGAAAGGCTGCCACTGCCCATTGCTCCCTGATTGCAACACTCCCGGGGTCCCTTAGAGTTTAGGACGTGCATGCCCGAGGGAAAAAAAAGCCATGAGGGTGCACCCAGGAGGGAGAATGTGCTGAGATGTGCATTTTGAATGAGCTCTCAGGGATGCTGATGCTGACCCACACTTAAGAGTAGCACTGCTCCTGGTCCCTGGCCTTCTCTGTTCCTCCAAGGAGCTCAGATCAGAGCCTCTACCTCTGCCTGGAACTGGCCCTTCTCAGACCAGCTAAGCCCTTCCCATCTTTCAGAGTTCAGCTCAGGCCCTTTGGACAGAGTCCAATAGGCCCATCAGTGCCCTCACCCTGACCCCAGGCACAGTGACACTGGCGGGGGTCACCTGGGCCTGTGTCCCTGCTGAGTGAAGCTCCTGGGAGCTGGGCCCTTGCTCAGGGCCCTGTGTTTAACACACTACGGGTCGGAGGGGATGCTGGTTCCCCAATGAAGGGCTCTTGTCCTGAACTTCAGAGCCCTTTCCTTCCACATCAGGTGAGGCAGAGCCCTCAGAACCAGGACATGGGGCATTTACAGTCACAGGCTGAATACATCACAATGAAGGGTTATCGAGGCTGCAGTAGGTTCCCAGGAGGGAGATAGACTCTCCTGTTCCTGAGGTGTACCCCTCCTGCTGGGCCTTGGACATAAGGTGTTTATATGGATGGGGGTGGGAGGGGAACTTTTCCCCCCAAAGCTTTCTCTCCCTGTCTCTGGCTGCCACTTGGGGTCATTGCTTCCCATGCTCCAAATCTCACCCACTCCCTCCTTCACTTTTCTCAACTTATTCATCTCCTCAGTCATCAAATGGAAAGGTTTTAGCAGGGAAGGGACATTATTTGGTTTGCACCAAACAAACAAGCAAACAAACAACTTCACTGTGGCTGCCGTGGTACCTTGGCTTCTTTCTGGCTGTGATTGTCTCTGCCTTCAACCTCACCCCACCCCTGTTCTGGTCCATGTCTCTGGACCAGCCTCAAGGAGTGAGCCCTGGGCCTGGGCCAGCTCCAGGGAGTTCTGGGTCTCCCCTCTTACCCACTGTCCATGAGCAGCTGAGGCTTCTCCAGACTCAGGGCCCTCAGCATCTCTGTCACCTGCTGACTCAGCTGGGTCTGGTCCAGGCTGCAAGCACAAAGGAAGCCTCATTATTGTGGGATACCCAATGAGCTCAAGGTCCTCAGGGCCCAGAATCATGGAATCTTCCACCTCTCACAGGAACCAGTCACAGGTCTCTGAAATCACAGTCTGAGATGGAAAATAGCATTGGGAGGTTTAGGAGAAGTGTTCCTGGGTCAACCCCAGGGCAAAGGAAGGGAGGGAGCAGGACTTGGAAGAAGGACAAGTTGGACTGTGATGCAGTCTCCAGGGACACAGCTGACTCTGTGGGACTTCTGATGTGGGGGTGACCTTCCAGAGCTGCTGCATACCGGGAGGAGGGGCGGGTCTTTATATCCCAACACTGCCCAGTCGTTGGATGCAGACCACCCCAGGAAGGGAGGTGACCTTGTGTGAGATGGTCCTAGCTGCAGAAGCCATCCCTGTAGCCAGCTGCAGGCAGCACTCTCAGGGAGGTGGTTCTGTCTTCATTCCTGGGAGGGAAGTGGGCAGCACTTCACAGCAGCCACCAGAGTACAGCCTGTTCCCATTGCTTCAAAATGGCCACATAGGAGTAGGTCCTGGGATTTCCTTCCTAGAGGCTGGAAGGTTTTTAGGAAAGAGAGCCCTCTTTCCACTCTCACAGGCCTTGTGTGCTGGGGTGTCCATTGGGTTTGGGAGCTGCCGCCCTCTCTGGGTCTCCACATCCTCATCTCCAACAGGATGGCCCTGCTCTGCCTATTGTGAGCCACAGAAATGGAGGTGAGAAGACCCTGCTCCCTGTAAATGGTGCACACTGTACTCATTACTGCTGTCAGAATCATTCCCCCTGGGGAGGGAGTGGGGCCACAATGGAGGAAGTTGACCCTCTCATCCAAGTCCCGGGGCTCCAGGAAGGAAGGAAGAGATAGAAACCTTTGCAGGACATCTAAGAGCAAGCTGCTCTGAGGCCACCAAGAGGTGCCCAGAAACTGATGAGCAGGGTGATAACGCAGATGTACAGTCAGGCCCAGCTCTGGAGAGGCCCTTCAACATACAGGGGTTCTGGCAGCCACAGCTGCCCAGTGGAGAGGGGCTGGGGTGTGAAGGTGCCAGCCCCACGGACTGGAGCTCCCTTGGGTGTGAAGGGTAAGAGCTGGCTTTGGGGGGACCTACATGTAGAGTGTTCAACCCCTGCTATCCTGCTCCTCCCGCTGCTCTAGGTTGGAGAAAGAGGGGCCTGGTGGAGGAAAGGCTGTAGGCTCAAGCTTTCCTGTCTCCTCTGAGAGCCAGCAACTGGAGCCTCAGCCAAGACCTCGGGGTCAGGATGTGAGGTCTGGAGCCCTGGCAGCTCTGAGAGTGTGTGATGGGGCCCCAGCCAGAGCTGCAGGGAAATGTTGCCAGAAACAGCCTGTGGGCTTGTTTTCAGACTGCAGGGGAGAGAGGAAGGGGCCAAGAGGCAGTGTGGGAATGAGGGTGGGGTCCCTGTTCTGCAGCCACACAGGGACCCAGGGCTCTGAGCCTGTGTCTGTCTCCCCAGTGCTCTGCTCTTCGCCTGGACTGCGGCCCCTGCCTGGGCCTGGTCAGCTGCTGTTTCTGCTTCAGGTCTCAGACTGATGTCACTCCTCAGGGAAGCCCTCCCTGCCCCTCAGTCTAATTCCATCTCCTCCCATGTCACACTCTCATAACACAGTGCATGCTCCCTTCGCAAACTCCATGGGGCTTAGAAATGCACACTGTGTGTTAATATGTGCTTATCATCATGTCTTGTTCCCACTGGAGTGTAAGTTTCAGGATGGCAGGGCCTGTGTGTGTTGCTCACTATTGTCCCCTCAGTGGTTGGCCCTGTGGTGGCACATGAGAGGCATGCAATGAATGAATGAATGAATGAGGCAATGAAGGAAGGAAGGGAGGACTGCCCTGGAGTGGAGAAGTGAACCTGGGAGTCCCCCAGAACATGTGGCCTCACTGTTGGTTATCATCTGACACTCTCAGCTCTGCTCCCAGAACTGTCCTGTTTTTACATGCATTGTATTTCATCAGAGTCTATGAGGTGGGTATGAGTTTCCATTGTACAGATGAGGAAACAGTCTCAGAGGTAGACCTGCCAGCGTCTTGTGGTGTAAGTGGCAGAGCTGGTAGGGAACCCAGGCTGACAATTTATTTTCTGTCTCTTCATTTCCCTTGTCCAGTCAGTTCAGGGCCCCGAATCCCTTCTATTCCTCTCCCTCCCGTCCCTGCCCTCTGCCCTGCAGGGACCCACAGGGCCTTACTGCAGGAGCCTCAGTTGGCAGATGGGCTGCCTGAGCCCTTTACAGAGCAGCCTCACACCGAGGTCACCCAGGTTGTTCTGCCTCAGGTCCAGCTCTGTCAGTCTGGGGCAGCCCTTGAACATGGAGGCCACGTCCTGGCAGCAGGCAGATGTGAGGCCACAGCTGACCAGCCTGTGGGAGAGATTTGCATGGGCTCATGGTCATTGTTCACAAGGCCTCTTCCTCAGGGTAACTAGGGTTGGATTCCCTTTCTAGAGCCTATGGCCCTTTGGGGCTCCTTGGTGACATTAAAGGAAGACGAAGGTGTGTCTGGCTGCAGTAACCTGGGAGATTGTAACCTCCTCAGCTAAGGAGCCACAAAGGATGCAGCTCGTCACTGTGTGACTCACAAACCTCCCCCTCCCTGCATCAACTTTATAGGACTGACTTACCCAACATTCCATTTGTACCCTGGGTCTAATTGTTAACTACATCAGCCCTTCCAAATGCCCAGTTAGCTGAATGGGATGCTTTGGTGGTTTCAACATGAGGGCATCTAGCTTTCCCTGACTCCATAACCCTGCCCTGCCTAGTTCCCACTTTCTCTCTGCCCCATCCTTAAAATTAGTGTCAGTGAGGCGCAATTACAGCAGGCCCTTCAGCTTGCAGCTGGACTTTTGCAGCTTCTGCTAAAGGTGCTGGGCCCCGTTGTCCAGGAGCTTGTTGAAGCTCAGGTCCAGCTCAGTCAGGTTTTGGCTGGCGCTCAGCCCACAGGCCAGGTCCTGGCAGCCCTCTGCTGTGAGGCCACAGTCAGCCAACCTGTGGGCGACACACACCAAAAGCCTTGAGTTTATTCACTAGTTGATCCTATAGTACACACACCCACTAGCACCCACTGGTACCTGTCTGGGTCAGGCAGATGTAAGTGAGACTCACCCAGACCCACAGAAATGCACAGGCACTGGGGGATGACAGAAACAAAGAACAGTGGGTCACTTTTCAGATGTTTTTTTTTAAGATTTTATTTATTTATTTTTAGAGAGAGAAGGGAAGGAGATAGAGAAAGAGAGAGAGAAACATCAATGTGCAGTTGCTGGGGGTCATGGCCTGCAACCCAGGCATGTACCCTGACTGGGAATTGAACCTGCAACACTTTGGTTCGCAGCCTGTGCTCAATCCACTGAGCTATGCCAGCCAGGGGCACTTTTCAGATGTTTTGATCAAAAGTCTTGTATGTTTCCATGTTTTGTTTTGTTTTTTTGAATTAAGGTCCTTGTCTTTGACTATGGGACTCTGGAAATCTGGCTCCTTTTCATCTTTCTTCTTATCTTATATTTCTTTTATCTGCATCCTTGCTGACCTCTTTGCTGTTAAACACTCCAGGTACAGTCCTGTCTCAGGGCCTTTGCACCTGCTGTTTCTTCACCAGCAACAATCTTCTCACCTGATAGCTCACAGCAGCATGTTCTCTCACCTGCTTCAGGAATTTGCTCAATAGCTGCCTTGGGGCAATCTTGCCTCATGACCCTTCCTGTTTAAAATTTCAGCCCCAGCCCCAGCTCCCATTCTTTTCTGCTTTACTTTCCTCTACAGCCCAAATCACATACAACATATTTCACTTGTCTATTTGCTTTTTGTTTTCTCCTCAAGGATGTATGCCCCATCAGGAAAGAGTTTACATTTTTAATTGGACTCCAGGGCTTAGGGCAGGTCTCACACATAGTAGGAACTTAGTAACTATGTGGTTAATGAGTGGATGAAATAGAGTGAAGAGGGGCATGTTGGGTGTAGCTGAAGGCAGAGGCATGAGGAGTTAATATTGACCAGTGAAGGGGGAGTAGACATGAGGGTGCCTTGAATGATGGGTACGAACATTGTGGTTTGTTGCTCGGTGGTTGCCATTTTGAGTTCCTTAATAATTTTATCTTTGAATTTGTGTTTTGTAAGTGAACTCTGATGGTACAATGCAGCTTTGCCTTGCATGTGTCCCCATCTCTTTGTTACCTACCCCCAATCCGGGAAGAGTTCTTGGCCACCCACTTCCCTGTCTCTTGATGCTGTGGGGCCCTCAATAGCCTTCCCATCTGTCATGGTGAGGATCAGGGACGGCATTTGGAGGATTAGGGCTTGGAGACAACAGCCTGGCACATTTGGTGATTTGTTGGAAGAAAGTGTCTCACTGACTATGATGAATATACTTAGTGCCTCATGGAAATACCCTGCAAGGTGATGGGTCTCCCATGTGCTTTGTGTTGGGATGGTGGCCTTTGGCAGTCTTCTCTGTGGTTTGGGTTGATGGGCCCACGGGAGGAGGAGAAGTCTGACTTGATTTTTCCACCCAGTCTACGGCTTGCTGCGTGGGTCTAGCAGCTAGTGGGAGGAGAAACCTGGCATCTGGTGGTCTGTGGTCACACTCACTTGTGGGTACGGCCCCCAGGCATCTGAGAGGTTCTGTGGGTACCTGCAGCATGCCAGAGGGAAGGCAACTTTAAACAGCAAATAAAGGACACCTTGTGATAGAACGAGAGGAAGGAATAAATCTTTGTATGTTAGTTCCTTTAATGGCACATTTTCACTGATGTTTGAGCATGTTCATTCTGTCCTGGTTCCTGTGATTATCTAGCTTGTCCTAAGAGGGGGATTAGGCTTTCTTTGCTTAGGGAGGAAAGTGGAGTTTAGAATACACTGAGTTTGAGGAGCCCCTGGGGCATGCTGGAGGGGGGTGTTGAGTTTGGGTCCTGAGCTGAAGACTGATGCTTGGCAGGTGCCCACTGGAGGAGGCCTGGGATGTGACTGTGTGAAGTTCCCTGAATGAGGTGGAGGACATTGAAATTGGGACCAGGTTACTCTTCTGGTTGGACATCACACAGACTTGGTGTCCAATCTTTCTTCTGTCAGTTACTATTTGAAGACTGTATGCAAGTTTCTTCATCGCCAAGTTTGCTGATCTGTAACATGAATTCACCATGCCTACTGCACACAGTGGTTGCCAAGGTCAAAGAAGATAATGTATCTCAAGTGTTCAGAACAGTGCTTGAAGGATGCTGCTGCCATAGGACCCAAGCCCCTTGACTTTCTTCTACATCTCCGTCCTGATTTCACACAGCCCCGCGTCTCAGTTTTCATGAAGCCCTTCTCTGTTCCTTCTCTCTCTGAGGGCCAAGGCTCTACCACCCTGTGTCTTTGATTCCACATCCTCTTGCCTCCTTTCTTCCTGGAATCACCTCTTTCAATCTCTAACCCTTTCCCACATTTTATTTTTTTTGCCAGTTCCTTCTGCTTTGTCCATGTGCTATGTGTTCTTTAATACAGAATCAACTTTTCTAGTGAGAAAACATCCACATCTGCCTTATCCAGTTAGTATTCTTGTGAACAACTACTTTGTATTACACCACCTCACTGAGTCAGCATGACTTCGGTTCTGGTTTTCATGGCGAAGAGCTGGAGGTGGTGCTGGGCTGCACACTCACTGGGTTCAAGTCCAAGCCCTCTCATTCTAGCTGTGTAAACTTGGGCAAGTCAGTTAATCTTCCTGAGCTTCAGGTCTTATTATGTGGAAAATGGAAATAACTTTCCAGGCTCTGTCATTTATACTTTTTTTTTTGAGGGCCTAAGAAAGTATTTCTTGGAGTGGATACAGAATTGATATTGAGACTGTGAAATTCTATTGCAATGTAAGGGGTATACTGTGGATTGGTGTCTTCCCACCAGGGTGTAAAGCTTAAGGTAGAACCAGGAAACAGAGAAGTGTAATGTAAGTGGTGGGTTTTTTGTAGCTGGTTGTTGTCAGGCTGAGATATTTTCCTTGTATTCCATGTTTGTTGAGTGTTGTTACTGTGAAATGGTGCTTGGTTTTATCAACTGCTTTTTCTATGTCTTTTGAGATGATCATGTAGATTTTATCAATTATTCTATTAACATAAATGTATTGCATCAATCAGTGTTTTTGGTTAATATGAGTTTACATTCCTGGTACAAGCACCACTTGGTCATGCTTTACCATTATTTTAATATGTCTTCAGTATTTTATGGAGGATTTTCATATCTATAGTCATAAGAAATTTTGGTCTGTAGTTTTTTTTTAATACCATATGGTGACTTTGCTTATCTTTGTCGCATTTTATAAAACACTTTTACTTGTTTATACTATTACAGTTGTCCCAAATTTTTTCCCCTTTGCCCCCTTGCTCCCACCCATCCCCCATTCCACAGTGAATCCCCACACCATTGCCCATGTCCAGGGGTCATGCATATGTTCTTTATCTAATCTCTTCAGTTTCTTTCAACCAGTCCCCACACCTTCCCCTACAATGTCAGTCTGTTCCATGTATCCATGCCTCTGATTCTATTTTGCTCATTAGTTTATTTTGTTCATTAGATTCCAATTATAAGTGAGATCATATGCTATTTGTCTTTCATTGAATGGCTTATTTCACTTAGCATAATAGTCTCCAGTTCCATCCATGCTGTTGCAAAAAGTAAGAATTCCTTCTTTTTTATTGCTGTGTAGTATTCTATTTTGGCATATAGTATCACAGCTTTTTTATCCTCTCATCTGCTTACGGACACTTAGGCTGTTTCCAGATCTTGGCTATTGTAAATAACACTGCTATGAACATAGGGGTGCATATATTCTTTTGAATTGGTGTTATAGGATTGTTTGCATATATTTCCAGAAGTGTAATCACTGAGTCAAAATGCAGTTTCATTTTTAATTTTTTGAGGAAACTCAGCACTGTTTTCCAGAGTGGTTGCACCAGTCTGCATTCCCACCAACACTAGACTAAGATTGCATTTTCTAAACATCCTTGTCGGCACTTGTTTGTTGATTTATTAATGAGAGCAATTTTGGCAGGTTTGAGGTGGTACCTCATTGTGGTTTTGATTTGCATCTCTCTGATGATTACTGATGTTGAACAATTTTGCAGACGTCCATGGGCCACCTGTATGTCCTCCTCGGAGAAGTGTCTGTTCTGGTCCTTTGCCATTTTTTAATTGGATTGTTTGTTTGAGTCATATGGGTTTTTTATATATTTTGGAGATTAAACCCGTTTCCTATGTATCATTGGCAAATATGTTCTCCCACACAGTGGGTTCTTTTTTCATTTTGCTGATGATTTCTTTAGCTGTGCAGAAGCTTTTTAATATGAAATAGTTCCATGTGTTTATTTTTTCAGTTTCCCTTCCTAGGAGATATATCAGCAACAATATTTCTAGTAGAGATATCTGAAATTTTACTGCCTGTTTTCTTCTAGGATTTTTATGGTATTGCAACTTATATTTAAGTCTTTTATCCATTTTGAGTTTATTCTAGTATGTGATATAAGTTGGTATTCCTGTCTGCTTTTGCTTTCAGGGTAACACTGCCATCATGGAATGAGTTGGCAAGTATTCCCTCTTCTATTTTTTATTTTTTATTTGCAGAGTATGAGAATATTGCTGTTTATTCTTTTTTTAAAGTTTTGGTGGAATTAATCAGTGAAGCCATCTGAGCCTGGACTTTTCTTTGTAGGAAGGTTTTGTTTACTGATTCAATGTCTTTACTTGCTATAGGTTTATTTAGATTTCCTAAATCTTCTTCAGTCAGTTTTAGTAGCTTATGTTTTTCTAGAAAATGGTCCATTTCATTTAGGTTATCTAATTTGTTAGCTGAACGCATTTCATAATATTTCAGTAAAGTTCTTTTAACATTTTCCATGAGGTCAATTGTGATGAATTCTCTTTCATTCCTCATATTAGTGATTTGCACCATCTCAGTTTTGACCTAGGCAGTCTAGCTAAAGGTTTGTCATTTTACTGATCTTTGCAACGAATTATCTTCTGTGGTCATTATTTTCTGTGTTTGTATTTTTTTGTGTAATTTATTCCCTCTGCAGTTTATATTATTTTCTTTCTTCTGATTCCTTTTCATTAAATTTGCTCCTTTTATTGTTATTTCTTTTTGAGTCTTAGAGTGGAATGTTAAATTATTGATTTGAGCACCTTTTTCTTCTTTTCCTGGTTTCCTTCTTTCTTTTCCTTCTGCCCCTTCTTCTTTCTTTTTTAAATAGACTGTTTTCTAGGACAGTTTTAGTTTTTTAGCAAAATCTGGGCAGAAGCACGAGAATTCCTACATATTCCTGCCCCTACATACACAGCTTCCCCCATTACCAACATCCAATGTCAGAGTGGGACATTATTTGCAGTCAGTGAGCCCCCACTGACACATCATAATCATTCAAAGTTCATAGTTTACATCAGGGTTCACTTTTGCTGTTTTATATTCTATGGCTTCTGACAGATGTAAAATGACATGTATCCACCATTACACTGTCACACAGAATAGTCACTGTGCTCTGTCTGTCCATCCTCACTGCCCCCGGACCTGGCAATCACAGATCTTTTTACTGTCTTCATATGTTTGCCTTTTGAAGAATTCCACATTGCTGGGGTTGTACAGTATGTAGCTTTTCAGATTGTGTTTTTTCACCTAGGAATGTGTATTTATGTTTTTCTCATGTCTTTTCATAGCTTTGTGGCTCATTTCCCCCCACATTAAATAATATTCCACTGTATGGATGTACCACAATTTGTTTATCTGCTCACCTACTGAAGGATACCTTGGCTGTTCTCCAGTTTTGCAATTATAAGTAAAGGTGCTATAAAAATCCATATACAGGATTTAGTGTGGACATAGGTTTTCAACCCACTTGAGTAAATAACAAAAACATGATTGTTGAATAATATGGTAAGGGTGTGTGTAGTTTTGTAGGAATCTGCAACGAGGCCACATCACTTTGCATTTCCATCTGCAATGTATGAGAATTTCTGTTGTTTCACAAACTTGTCAGCATTCAGTGGTGTCTTGTTCTAGATTTTGGCCAGTCTAATGGGTGTATAGTTTTAGCTTTTATCTTCTTTTTAAAATCTAGGCATTCAGCCCCAGCTGGTATGGGTCAGTGGATTGAGTGTTGGCCTGCAAACCAAGGGGTCACAGGTTTGATTCCTGGTCAGAGCACATGCCTGGGTTGAGGTCAAGTTTCCTACTTGAGGGTATGTGAGAGGCAACACATTGATGTTTCTCTCCCTCTTTTTCTCCCCCTCTTCTCCTCTCTCTAAAAATAAATAAATAAAATCTTAAAAAATAAATAAAATCTAGGCATTGATATCCACACATTTCCCTCTAAGCTCTGATTTAGCTGCATAAAATAAGTTTTGGGATGTTGCGTTTTGATATTCTTTCATCTCAAAGTATTTTTATATTTGTCCTATGCTTTCCTCTTCTTAAAAATATATTTTATTGATTATGCTTTTACAGTTGTCTCATCCCCCCCCCCTTTATTCCCCTCTGCCCTGCACACCCTCTCCCACTTGTATTCCCCCATTTAGTTCATGTCTGTGGATCAAACATATAAGTTCTTTGGCTTCTACATTTCCTATACTATTCTTAACCTCCCCACATCTATTTTCTACCTACCATCTATGCTACTTAATCTCTGTACCTTTTACCCCTCTCCCCGCCTTACTCCCCTGTTGATAATCCTCCATGTGATCTCCATTTCTGTGATTCTGTTCCTGTTCTAGTTGTTTGCTTAGTTTTTTTTTTTTAGGTTTAGTTGTTATTAACTATGAGTTTGTTGTCATTTTATTGTTCATATTTTTGATCTTCTTTTTCTTAGATAAATCCCTTTAACATTTCATATAATAAGGGCTTGGTGATAATGAACTCCTTTAACTTGACCTTATTTGAGAAGCACTTTATCTGCCCTTCCATTCTAAATGAAAGCTTTGCTGGATAGAGTAATCTTGGATGTAGATCCTTGCCTTTCATGGGTTGGAATACTTCTTTCCAGACCCTTCTCTGCAAGGTTTCTTTTCAGAAATCAGCTGACAGTCTTAAGGGCATTCCTTTGTAGGTAACTGTCTCCTTTCCTCTTGCTGCTTTTAAGATTTTATCCTCCTCTTTAATCTTGGGTAATGTAATTATGATGTGTCTTGGTGTGTTCCTTCTTGGGTCCAACTTCTTTGGGACTCTCTGAGCTTCCTGGACTTCCTGAAAGTCTATTTCCTTTGCGAGACTGGGGAAGTTCTCCTTCATTATTTTTTCAAATAAGTTTTCAATTTCTTGCTCTTCCTCTTCTCCTTCTGGCACCCCTATGATTCAGATGTTGGAATGCTTAAAGATGTCCTGGAGGTTCCTAAGCCTCTCCTCATTTTTCTGAATTCTTTTTTCTTCATTCTGTTCTGGTTGACTGTTTATTTCTTTTTTCTGCTCTAAACCATTGATTTGAGCCCAGTTTTCTTTCCATCACTGTTGGTTCCCTGTACATTTTCTTTTATTTCACTTTTCATAGCCTTCATTTTTTCCTCTAATTTACAACCATATTCAACCAAGTCTGTGAGCATCCTGATTACCAGTGTTTTGAACTGTGCATCTGATGGGTTGGCATTCTCTTCATCACTTAGTTGTACTTTTTCTGGAGTTTGAACTGTTCTTTCATCTGGGCCATTTTTTTTTGTCCTGGCACACCTGTTATGTAGTAAGGGGTGGAGCCTTAGATGTTCACCAGGGTGGGCAACACATGTCACTGTGTTATGGTGCTGTATGTGGGGAGGGGTCTGAGAGGGAACAGTGCCCTTTGCTCTGCTCTCTGCTGGTTTCCAGTCACTTCCCCCACTACCCACAATGAAATTGGGCTTTTCTGGTTCTCATTCCTAGGTGGGTGTGTTTGTGTATGTTCTAGGACCTTGTGGGTCCCTCCAACGAATTCTCCAGTGAGGCTGGGAGTTTCTTCCACTGCTGCCTCAACCCCCACAGGTGTTTTTAGTCAGAGGATTTGAGGCTTTATTTCCCTGTGCTGGAAGCCTGGGTTGAGTGGTCTGTCTGGCTCCCTAGTTGTTCCTCCCAGCTTATCTGCATGAGAATGTGGCACCACCTGCTCCGCTACCTGATGCTTTGCCTGCCCTGGTCCTCCAGCCACTGCCTTGCTGTGAGTTCTTTCAGCCCGGCTCCCCATCTCTGTTCCTCCTACCAATCTGGATGAATGTTTCCTTTTTAGCTCCTTGGTTGTTGGACTTGCATACAGTTCTATTTTCTGTCAGTTCTGGTTGTTTTTTGTTTTTAAATTTGTTGTTCTTTTGGTTGTGCGAGGAGGCACAGTGTGTCTACCTATGCCACCATCTTGGCTGGAAGACTGCTTTCCTCTTTGATACATTGTTTATTTAGGAACATGTTGTTTCATTTCTCTATATTTGTCAATTTCTTATATTTCCTTCTGTTATTGATTTCCAATTTCATTCCATTATGTTCAGAGAATAAAATTGTGTGATTTCACTTTTAAACAATTTTTTGGGGATTTGTTTTATGAGACATCTTGTTTTTATAGAGATTTATTTGATGTCTGCTTGAGTATTCCCCTTGGTTATCTCAAAAGAACTTGAAATAAACCTGCACAAAACCCCACCCATGACGTCCCATCCCCCACCCACTCCTCTTCCAGTATTTCCCCTCTCAGTGAAGGTGCCACCATCCCATGTGTTCCTGTGGCCTGAACCTAAGGTCATCTTCTATGTTTCCATCTTCCTTCCTTTCTCTGTGAGTCCAATGTATTACTCATTCTGGTTTATTTTACTTTATTTTAGATCTCTTCAATCCCTTCACTTCTGTCCATTTCCATGGACAACACTGTAGTTCAAAATATCACACGCAGAAACTATAATAATATCCCTTAGTTTAAGCTCTCACCATTTAATAGGAACAGATGAAACTTCCCTATGAACTGGTTTCCAAACCTCTACTTTTGCTCTCCTCCATTCTCTTTTAATACTGCAGTGTATTTCTCCTTTCAAAATCTACTGATCTGATGAACCTTTGATTATAATCATGTTGCATTAGAAAAGCATCCCCAGATTCCATTGGGACCTTGCATAGAGGGTTTGGCTGCATGATCCCTGTAGCCCCTGTTGCTCCTTCGCTCTCCATCCTCCAGCCTCACTGGCCGGCTTTCAATTCCATTACAGCCCTTCCTTCCTTCTGCACAGGGACTTTGACCTTTCTTCCCTCCTGCCTCACTTATGTAAATCCTCTGTATCTTCAGATATCCTTCCATATTTGCTTTCTTAAGGTTGTTTTCATGGGAGGCCCTTATCTGGGCCTGTAAGTACATGTGTTTGTGTGGTTAATGGTAATCACTTGCAAGCTCTGTGAAGCTGGAATCCTGTCTGTGTTTGCTCACTGTAGTAGCCATGGCCCCTGGCACAGTGCATGGCCAGAGAGGGGCTCAGTGAATGTTTGTTGAATACAAAGACCACACCCCCATCCTGAACACAACTATCTTGGATCTCCCATCCATCCCTGTTTCAGAACAGAACTAGGGTCAGACTCACCTCAGGGTCTCCAGGTGGCAGTGAGGACATTTCAGGGCCTCACAGACACTGTGCACTGCAGAGCAGCTCAGGAAGTTTCCACTCAAGTCCAGCTCCTGCAGGCTCCCATCAACATAGAAAATGGAGAAGAAAATCTGCCACCAGGCATCTGTAAATGGGCTCAAGCTGGACCTGAGCGAGAGAGAATCAGAAGAGATGAGACCTCTGTGTGTGCTGAGAGGGTGGTCATGTGCACAACCCTGCACAACACAGTGGGGTTCAGGTCCTCTGAGCACCAGGCTGCAGCAGGCAGGGTGACCCCCAGGGCTGGTCAGCCACCCCAGAGGCCCCTCTGTTTCCACCACCCTGGGTTAAATGCCCCTCTTCTGTGTGGTTTCTCATTGTACCACACATTGTGGGTTCAGCCTCTGCCATTGTGAACTGCAGTGTTTACTTGGTGGATCTATTTCTGCCTCAGTTTGGGACATTCTTGTGGGCAGGGGCTGATATTGTTAATCTCTTTGATCTGCAGTGCTCTGCACAGGGTCTGGCACAGAAGTTGGGGAGACAGACAGTCATCTTCTCTTCAATGCAGACCTACCTTTCTTCTTTCTGTGTCACAGATGTTGTGAAGTCCCAGTTCCCAGAAAGGAAAGGAGGAGATTGGAGGAGGGAACAGTCTGGGACAAGTAGTTTATAGATAATTTTGTAGGATAGCTGAGCAGTGGGAAGGTTAGGTGTTGGAGGGATTGACCAAAGAGGAAAAAGGACTCATGGACATGGACAGTAATGTGGTGATTGCTGGGGGAGGGGGATATAAGAGGACAAAACGGTAGTGGAAAAATACATTAAGATTAATTAAAAAAAGATAATTTGGTGATTGGATGTTGTGTCTGACTACATATGCTGCTGTCCAGCTTATGTGGGACCCTGTCCCCTCTCAGGATAGTAAGACACAGAAAGGGTGTCCAGGAGAGAGATGGCAAAGGCGACTGTCTCAGAAGGGGACATTTGCAGGATGTGGAGAGAGGATGATGGGCCTTGTCTGGGAGTTTAAGTGCAGACTACCTTGTGTAATTTCCACCAATTTAAATTATACATTTTCACACACTATTTAAGTGATTTTATCTAGTACCAAGGCACAGTGACTCAGACTCTGTTTCACGTTGCAAAATGACATCTCTTTTTTCTTGCCAACTATCTCCACCCTCACAGCCTAATAGCACCTTGACCCGATAAGTCCCCAATTCCATTCACCCTTCTCCCTCCCAGGTCTGCAGAGCCAAGCAGAGGCGAGGAGCAGAGGCTCTGGAGCCAGCTGTCAGCACGTGAATTCCACTGGTCTGTGCCTCACTCAGTTTCCTCGCTGCCAGAAGGGGACAAGAGGCCCTGCTGCGGAGGGTTCCATGAGGACGTGAAAGTGCTACAGAGACTTTCACAAATCTCAGTGTGGTTGTAATGTTCACAGCTCTAAGATGTATTCATGCTGCAAAGGTACCAAAATATCCCTTATACCCCTCTCCCCCAGCAATCTATTTATTTCTTTTTTAAAAAAAGTTATTTAGTTTTGGGGAAGTTGAATAATTCATTTTTAAACTTTTTGGGTTTTTTTGCACATTTTCCAACTCTAATCTTTAATTAAAGAGATGAAAAGAAAAAAATAAAACTTTTTATCAAAAGGCACAGTGCTTAATTACAAACCAAATACTTGAGCTGCTCATACATCCTGTCTCCTGTTGGTCCTTGTCTCCCTCCCACAGCCTTGGGCCAACCTCTATCATTTCCTCCTGGACTTCTTGTGTGTTTACAGTGTCCTTGCTATTCTCTCTGTCTTGCCTGGCTGACTCAGTGTCTTTAAAATCCCCCTGCCCACAGCAGCTGCAGCCTCTGACTTTCCCATGGGAGTCCCTCCACACTCCAGGTGTCACTGTGCACTGCAAACTCTCTTCTTCATCATGGTGCCCTTGGCTCCTCATGCTACTCACCTCACCTCTGCCTCTTCCTGCTCAGGGTACTTCCAAGGCCACCACCACTTGTTACACCTGTACCCAGGTCCTTTAAAGACGAGTTCACCTTTGTAACCATAACAACTAGAAATAACCTAAGTGCTTGACGAGAGATAATGGTCAGATAGTTGTGGCACCTTCCCTATGGAACACCATATGCTCATTTGAATGACATTGTATTAGGCTACTTCATAGCATGAGAGGACAGTCTTTGTATAAAAATAAAGAAATAACACTGTGAAATGAAGTGTACAGTGTGGCTCAATTTTGCTTTAGAGATGTGCATAAAAATACGACTAGAGGACATACACTTGCATTTTTATTGATGGTGATCTCTGAGTGATGGAATTCTGGCTAATAATTAATTTTGACCTTGTTGTGTATTATATGTCCTCATTTTCCTACAACAAACATAAGTTTTATATTAGAAAAAAATGTTATAAATCCAAAAATACAACACCCAAGCCCTACATTTCCTCCTTGGAGTCTGTGATTTTTTGTGGTGCACTTTGGGGATCCCTCCCTTTCTAGGGCTACCATCCTGCCTCATCCGTGTCTGTCTTGTCAGAGTCCTTCTACTCTGTTCTAGTTACTGGATGGATGTCTGTCTTCTCTCCCAGATTTGAGTTCCTTGAGACACATATGTATTTTATTAATCTGTGATCCACATGGCCTGCCATAAAATCAGTCCTTAATATGCATTTATGAAATGAGTCTACAGGGGAAAGAGTTACTCAAACAAATAAAGGATCTATACTGCCACTGAGGTGGGGAACTGGATGTGGAAGTTAATGGTGCTGCTGGGCTTGGAGAATGATGGGAGAGAGCCACTTGGTCATACTCAGGTAGGCTTTCAAGGGAGTCCCTGCAATGGTGCAACTGTGCACCACTGACACACACAAGAAAATTGGTTTTGCAGAGAAAAATGGAGACCCTTTTTTGGAGATACACATTTTAGGTGGTTGGGGACATATTAGGGACAATGTCATAGTCAACACCATCAAGGGCATGCCTGAAGCAGCTGAGTGAGCAGTGCCTTGGAGGGAAGCATGTCAAGAGGGAGAAGCAGAGACAGGTGGTCTGGGTGGATGGGAGCTGACATGAGCCTGGGGGTGATTGTGCACCAGGAGCGAAGGTGGCCCTCATGACAGAGAGGGGGAGAAGCAGCAGTACAAGGCAGGGCCACAGCAGGCCTCCCAGAGCAGGTAGGGAAGGTCACATATTCAGACACTGCTGCATAGGGTCCTAGGTGGACAGAGAATGGCAGTCAGAGTTGGCCATTAGAAGTCCCTATTAACCTCAGTCCTTTAGCCACAGGGGACAGGCCAGTGGGAGTTCCTACAGGTCCCAGGACAGTGGGAACAGCAGAGGAGCTGGAGGGAAGGGCAGGGGAGCACTCACAGAACTACATTGGAGAGCCTCCAGGTTTGTTTGTGTGGTCCATCTTCGTTTAGTTGAAGCCTCTTCACCTGCTGGCAGAATTTAAAGAAGAAAGTGAACATCAGGAGCTCCATTTCAGTTTGGACACATGTACTTGTTCCAGAGAAATCAGACATCACTTCTGTCAGAAAACCTTTGTCCTGAATCTCATAAAAACAGTGGGGCAAGTCCCAACAATATGACTCTAGGTCTGGTTGTATGAAGTTGACCTCTGTCTTGGCCAAGCTTAGCAGCTTGTAATGCCTGTCCTGAGACAGCTGGCATTTGAAGATGCTCTCCATTTCTCTCATCCCCTGCTCACTCAAAAGTCCAAATAGAAAACATGTAGTTGGGTCCCCAAACATGTCCTCCATCTTATATCCCTCTGTCAAGTCTCTCATGCTTCTGATGCTTATTAACTCCTCATCCCCTAAAGCACAGGACATTGCTGCAAAGAACTCCTGGAAACACAAGTGCATGAAGCTGTAGCTCAGAGAGCTGGGGTGCTTCTGAAGAACACCCATCTTTAAGAGAGTGCAGGTGATGTCCTCATCTAACCCATTTTCTCTGAGGTCTTCAGGGCTGAAGAGGGTCTTTCCTTGCCTGGTGCCCTTAGCAGCCAGAGAGCAGAAGTCCCGGAGCTTAGTCCCAAGAGACTGAACTTGGAGAATGTGGAAAAAGTAGTGCAGACAGAGGGCAGTGGTCGTCTGGCAGGTCAGTGAGAGTTCTTGCCCGTGATCCATCTGCTGCTTCAGGCAAGTGCAGACCAGCCAGGACACCAAGGGCATGACACACATGGACAAGAGTGCTGGGTTTGATTCGACTGAGTTGAAGGCTCTAACTGCTTGGCTTTCATCTGTGAAGTATGTGTAGAAATAGCCCCTCCTGGCTGACTCAGAGAATCCCAGGACCTCCACCCAGTGTGGCTGCTTTAAAGAGGGAATGAACTTCCCCAGAGCTGTGATCCGAGCTGTGATGAGCAGGGAAGCCCCAGGAAGTAAGGTTTTCTTCAGCAAACTGCCCAGCAGTGTGTGCACCTGCTGCTGCTGGCTCCAGTGCAGACTGAGCTCAGAACTCTGCTCCTTAAAGTCCCATTTTGGTTCATCCAAGTTATCAAGAATGAAGAGCAGCTGTTCTGGCTGAGACAGGATCTGTCCAATGTGAGCTGCAGGGCCAGCCCAGTCTTTGGAGATGAGCTCAGCAAGACTCATTGTCCTGGACTGGGCCAGGTCTCTGCAGTTGAAGTAGAAGACATGCTGGAAGCGGTCCCTGTACAGCCTGCCTTCCTCCCAGGCTCTCCTCACCTGCCTGGCCAGGGTGGACTTCCCGATTCCAGCAACCCCATGCAATATGACTGTGAGAGCCTCTTCCTGGGTACCTGGGTCTGGGCCAAATAAGTCTCCGACCTCAATAAAATGTTTTTGATTCTCTGTCACCTCATGTTTCATCATCCAGAGCGGCAGATAATATCCTCTGGGTTGAGATCTGTGTAGAAGTAGCAGTTGTGTGAATTTTTGTTGGATATCCTCATTTTTCCATGACTGTGTGGGGTAGGGACTCTCTCTCTTTTGCTTCTGGAATTTTTCTGTGATTCCTAGGTGAGGGAGGGAAAGATGGAACATGTAGGTATAGAATACATTTGTTTAACTTTCAACACTCTCCTCCTACCACTAACACTTCTAATAAGTTACATATTCATTTATGCTTTTGCCCAGGAGTTGGCAAACTCAGGCCAAATCTAGATGGGCACCTGTTGTACAACCTGTGACATAAGAATGGTTGCTATATTTTTAAATAATTGAAAAGTCAAAGAAGAAGAATATTTCATGATGTGAAAGTTATATAAAATTCCTAATCTGCAAAGAGATGTGGACATGTAGGTACATGAAACTCCTAGGTCCTGATACAGACCCCACCCCAAAAGGACTTCACTCCTCACATTATACTAAGATTGTCTGAAATCAAAGACAAAGGGAATCTAAAAGCAGCAAGAGCAGAATGGCTCACCGTACACAAGGGCAGCCCCATAAGGCTGTGAGCAGGTTTTTCAGCAGAAAATACACAGGCTTGGAGAGAGTGGATGATACATTCAAAGTGCTGAAAGAAAATAGCTGTCAGTGAAGAATAATTTACCCAGCAAAGGTTCAGAAATGAAGGAGAGATGAAGGCTTTCCAGATAAACAGAAGCTGAGGTAGTTCATTACCACTGTAGCTAACTTCCAAGAAATGCAGAAAGGAGTTCTCCAGGTATCTGAACTAAAAGATGCTAACTGGTATTGTGAAAGCATATGAAAGTATAAATCTCACTTGCAAAGGTAAGTATATAGTCAAATTTAGAATATGCAATGCTGTCACAGTGGTATGTAAACAACTCTAGCAGAATGGTTAAAGGAGAAAAGTATCAACAAAGCTAGAAGTTTGTAGTGGGGGGAGGGTTTGTCAGTCTGGAGCAACTCCTGGGAACTGGTGGAAGGAGCTGGAGGCACTGGTGGCAGGACAGTGGTGGTGGCCTTGGGAAGTCTTTGGGGAATGCTGCAGGTCACTGGGTGATGAAGATCAGGCACCTGACTTGAGCAGTGTGACAGCCTCTGGGACAAAGTGAGAATGTGTGTGGTGTCGACTCTGTCCCTTCAGACAGGTCAGATTTTATGTTCCTTTCTACAAGTGAATTCCTAGATCAGAGTCTCTGCTGAGATTTGAGTGGGATTTAAATTGGGGAATCCCTGAAGCTTTGTAACTTCTGCCATCGGCTAAAAAATTCACCTTTTCAGGAGTTCTGTTTTGCCAGTCCTCTCTCCTAACTGAGCACCAAAGGCGGACTCTATGAAAGATGACAGAAGTTGTTACAGCCAGGTGGGACTGAGTTGCCCAACAGGACCAGGAACTCGACATGAAGAAGAACCAGCACAACTGTTGGTGGGACTGCAAACTGGTACACCACTGTGGAAAGCAGTATGGAACTTCCTCAGAAAACTAAAAATGGATCTGCCTTTCGACCCAGCAATTCCACTGCTGGGACTATATCCTAAGAACACTAAAACACCAATACAAAAGAACCTTTGCACCCCGATGTTCATAGCAGCACAATTTACAATAGCTAGGTGCTGGAAGCAACCTAGATGCCCATCAGTAAATGAATGGATCAAAAAACTATGGTACATTTACACAGTGGAATTCTATGCAGCAGAAAGAAGGAGCTCCTACCCTTTGCAACAGCTTGGATGGATCTGGAAAGCGTTATGCTAAGTGAAATAAGCTAGGCAGTGAAAGACAAATACCATATGATCTCAGCTTTAACAGGAGCCTAAACAACAAAACAAAGAAACAAGCAAAATATAACCAAAGACACTGAAATAGAGGACAGGCTGACAGTGACCAGAGGGGAGAGAAGAGGGAATTTCAGGGGAGAATGGGAAAGGGTTACAGGGACAAATTTAAAGGACACATGGACAAAAACTAGGGGGAGGGTGGTAATGGGAGAGAAGTGGGGAGTGTTGGGTGGGTGGGCTGGATTGGGAGTAAAAGGGAGAAAACTGTATTTGAACAAGGATTAAAATTAAAAAAAAGATTCCAAAATAAAAAAAAAAGAAAATGAGAAGATTTACCAGATTTTAGCTTTATGTTTAATTCTCTCACTTTTGAGAACCATGGATTAATAGTTCTCAAGCTTGACCTTTATGTAAGTGTGTTACAGGTACCATTTTATTTTTCTAAGGTATTTTTTAACTCTTGATCCCCTTTTTCTGTGAGGGATGGAGGAATAGCTTGCTTACAGCCACTTCATAATCTGTGTGGTATCAGCACATCATTCTTGATTTTGTTACATTAATATAATTTTTTGGTCAATGAGGTCTTTTGCCTACTAACACCATTTTGAACAATAAAACTAATAAAACCGTTTTGGATGTGAGATAGTCATTCAAACTGTATGTATTCAAATAAAATATTATTCATACTGTAAAAAAATAAAAAAAAGAAGAAGAACCAGCACAGTGGCTGCTGAATGACTCCAGGACGTGGTGGCAGGTGAGGAACATGGGCAGCAGGACAGGCTATGTGCTATCCAATTATGTAGAGAGGAAGAACAGCCTGAGAAGGGCTTCCTCATGAAGAACCTGAAGGAAACTCTAGGCCTCGGCAAGACCAAGAGGAAGACCAGCTGGTGGGACACGACCCTGACACCCAGCATGGATGCTGAGCACCCCGCCAATGCGGACAGCGCTAACCACATCTACAACCTCAACATCCCAGACTTTGTCAAGTTTGCCTATGTCACCAAGAGTGTAGATGAACTGTCCCTGGTGAAGTGGTCATGAGTCACTCTCATGGAGCAGTGCAGTGATGGCTGCTGGCATAGCAGCTACAGTGGGCACTTGGGCTGGATCCCCTCCACCTACAACCTGGAGGAGGTGGATGAGATGGCCGCCAAGCTCCTCAGTTTCCTGAGCCTGCTGAAGAGCTCACCCCAGCAATGGGTGGGGCACCTACGTCCTGCATATGGTCCAGAAAATGTACCCTTTCAGCTCAGTCACTGAGAAGCTCACCTTTGAAAAGGGAGAGAGCATGGAGGTAATTGAGAAACCCAAGAACAACCCTAGTGACAGAAATGCAAACACGTAGGGGACAGGTCAGCCATGTGCCCCAGCATTAGTGATGATCCTCAGTGACAGGTCCTCCCTGTCCCCATCCTATGCCCAATACACCAGCTACTTGGGGAAGGGGCAGGGTCTGCTTAGCAGGCAGAGTGGTACTATGGAAACTATGGTACTTGTGATACGACATGCCACAAGGCCAGGTGTGTGCTCAGTGAGCAGTGCCAGAGGGAGATTTCCTCATTAGGGACAGAAAATTCTTGCCATGACTTGTCCATGTCTATCAAAGTGTCAGGGAAGAACTAACATTTGAAGATGCACCTTGTGAAGAAAGTCTACTGCATCAGGCAGCAGCAGGTTCACACATGGACAGGTGCTGGGACACCACAGAAGGCCCATCTTCACCAGTGAGCATGGGGAGAAGCTGTGCCTCACTGGAGGACTTCAGTGATGTCCTCCCTGTGGGCCCTGCCGCCTCCAGGCCCCAGTGCCACACTTACTTCCCCAGAGCTGAGTGGGTGGCTCCAAGAAGTCCTGGTGGGTCACCTGTCTCCTGTGGCTCCTCTCTATCCAGTGGCTCCTCCCCTGTTGGTTTCCTTTGCCTGGTTGATGTTTCTGTCCAGGTCCTTTCTTTCTGTCTGCCTCCCCTTTGCCACCCCAGGCCCTCATTCCACAGTCAAGGTCACCCCCAGACCCCACACCAGCCAGTTGTAGAGAATGAATGTTGGAAGAGGGGCAAGTGTGCTCACTTTGTTCCTTCTCAGTTGGAAGCAGCCCTAGACTGTTCAAACCATTCACATCATCAGCACCCTCAGCACAAAGACGCTGGGCTCAGCTGGAATGCACTGAAGCTGCCCTTGGTGAAGTGACCTACAGTGCACTGCAAGGGGAAGATCCCCGGTCCCAGCAGCCCTTGTTGCTGTCCTTTGCCCTTACTTGGCTCTGAAACACTCCAGGAAGCGACCCTGTTTGCTGGTAACAATACCGGCACCAGCTGGTGAGATAGTAGTGAGGGAGCTTCCAGTGCCTTTGGGGGTGTGCTTGCAATAAAGAGAGAATATCCTTGAGGTCAACCTGCTAGGGGATGGCTGACTCGAAAAGACAGGTGTTTTGGTAATTCACCCACAAATACACCATCCACCTAGTTCATTTTCCTCTTGTCCCTTGGCTTGTGTAAATTTCACAACTATATATTTAATTCCTAAAGTAATATATATCTGCATTCATTTGTAGACACTAATACTGATGATTAAGGAAAACACCTGAACTTTCAGGAATTGCAGCTACCAACATTTTACACAAACACACTCTGTCAATCTATCTATTTATACATAAACATACTCATTATATATATATATATATATATATATGTATAAATATACAGATTTACAGGGAAGTTTTTCAGGGTTCACAAAAGAATATGTGATTGGTAGTAAGAGACACAGAATGTTTATAAAGAAAATATTCTTTTTTCTTTACAGTTGAATTTTTTTATAGTTTTAATATATAGTCTTGAGATGGTACATTACTACAGTTAGAGAAATGGTCTGGAGACCTCCTACACTTGCAAACTCCATTGAATGGATATTGGATAATAAGTGTTATGACAAGACTCCGTGTGCATTTAACTTTGGGAAAGTTCTGACTCATCGATGGGACAGCAATGATGTCAGGACTCACTGACTGCTCAGTGCCGGAAGGGAGGAGTGCAACAAATTTATTACTAGTGTGGTTTCCTTTTCTACCACAACATTTTTTATTATATTGCAGTAATAAATTTAATGAGTAAAGCTGCAAGAGGAAGAAAAGGACAAAGTATTAAAAATAATTGTACTTAAAATAATTTGGTAATGGATACACAATATAGAAGATGTAAATGATGACATCAATGTCATAATATGGGGGGAGTAAAAGGGTAGAATTTGTGTATGTGGTTGAAATTAAATTGTTATAAGATTAACACAGACTGCAGTAAGTATAAGATGTTTTATGTAAATATCATGGTGGACACAAAGCAAAACCCAGATACACACGAGACAAAAAGAAAGAAATCACAGCTACCACTGTAGAAAATCATCAAATCACATAGGAAAACAGCAAGAGAGGAAGGAAGGAATAAGGGAAGTTTACATAACAGTTACAAAAACAATAAAAAAGTCCTTCCCTCTCAGTTATTACTTTAAATGCTAAAGGATTAAATTCTCCAATCACTCTATGGAGGGGGGCACAGTCTGGCTGAAGGGATAAAATATGAAAACAAATTAATGATAAACCCCAAGACCTGACTATATGCTGCCTACAAGAGACTCACTTCAGCTTTAAGGACACAGATAGACTAAAGGAAAGAGATGTAAATACATTCAATGCAATCGAAAACAGAAAGAGAGCAGGATTAGCTGTAATTGTACCAGACAATGGAGCCTGAGCCTGTGACCTTCAGCTCCAGGGCTTGGGAGCAGCAGGAGTGAGAGTGGGCACAGGAGGAAGGAGAAGAGTGAAGGGGGTATGGAAACTGGGGTGGGGTCCTTCCCAAAGCAGCAGCAGACTTGAGGGAGAAATCACTGGTTCTAGGTCCCAGCCCTGGCTCTGTTTCCAAGTGCTGTGTGAGTGTGGATTTGGACGCTGGGATGAAAAGAGAAAGAGGCCAGGGTGTGGCTGAGATTTCAGCTTCCTGACTCAGTGTGAGGAAGGCCAAAATGATAGAAGTCAGGAGAGGGAATGGGCTTGGGCTGAGGAATAAGCCTGCCCTCCTCTTGGGGTTCACCTGGAAAACAGAATCCTCCTTGGAACTTTCTACCACCCTGAGCCCACAGAACTTCAGAATCACTGAGACCAGCACCCGAGCTGCGTCTGGGTCAGGACCCTGTTACACATGGCACCTGGCTGTGTTAGTTTCACTGCCTGGCCTGCATGGGTCTCAGTCTACCTTCTGTCAAATCAGAGGGCATGTGATCTCAACACTGGAATGTTCCTGAAAGATCATTTCTAGGCCTACTGGCCCCACCACCCCATCCTGGCTCCTCTGTCCTCCTTATGCAGCTTCCTGTCCCAGGTCCTCCTGCACTACAGCCTCACCTGGGTGCATACCCACTGGCTGCCTTGCAGACCCAGCTGGGTCTGCAATGCAAGCCTCTCTTTCCAGCTCTGTCCATATGTCAAGCAAGAGTTTCAAGTTCTTTCTAAGTCCTGGAGGGGTCCCAGGACTCAGGGTCATAGCGTTTCAGTACAGTGGTGGAGGGGAGCCCTATTGAAAGTTCCACTTGGAACCAAGGAGTAGAGGGATGGGGGAGACTGGGCTATGGGAAGTGGGTAAGGAGGATGAGGCTGGTGAGCAGGGTGGGCAGGAGCCAGGGCACTGATGCTGGGGTCCTCCAACCAGGAAGAATCAGGAAGCAGAGACCCTGATTACTGAGAGAGGCCAGGAGGGACCAGTGCACCCACTGCACCCTGCCCCAGCCTCTCAGGCAGAAGGACGCTCTGACACTGCCAGGCACAAGTCCTGACCTGGCTCCAGGAAGTTTGCATCTGTGTCCTGGCTCTGCCTCTCCCTCCCCATGTAACTCACGACTTCTCTCTGTGCCTCAGCTCCCCCCACAGGAGGCTAAAGCCTCTGCCTCCCATGGCTGCTAACAGTAGTGACATCCTCAGTGGTAGCAACTGTAGCAGCAGAACAAGTTACGGGGCTCTACCTAGGAATAAACTGTGTGCTAGATGTCTAACATGGATTCTCTGTTTCACCCTCCCACAGCCCAGGAGGCAGGTTCTTACTCGCTCACTTTACAGATGGGGAGATGGGTGCAGAGAGTAGAGAAGCAACTTGCCCACTATGGTGGTGCCAGGATAGGAACCTGCTTCTCGACCACTCCCTTCTGTGCTTATAGCCCGAGACCAGGCAAGTCCCTGCTTGGGAGGTAGGTGTTAAACCCACATCCTTCCTGCAGGTGTCTTCTGAGTGTCAGCCTCTGGTCCCTCTGGCCCTCTGAGCTCTCCCTCCATGGTACTGTGTCAACCACATGGGTTTCTGGGAATGACCTTGGCCAGTAGTGAGTTCCAGAAAGGCCCCTCTGCCCCAGCAAGCCTCCTAGCTCTATCCTGGTCTGGGCCTGGATCACCCTCTGAAAGTGCAGTTGCCAGTCACTGCCCAGAGGAAGGACTGATGGGGTTCAGTGCGGGATGGGGGGTGCGGACAGGAGATAGACAGCACTCAGAGGGCACTTTGCCTACTCACCTGACTCCAAGGCTGCCTCTTTCCAGACTTGGGCACACAGCTCACTCAGACCCATCAGCTCCCAGGTCTGCAGGGCTAGGACCCAGGCCTGCTGCTCCCCGTATTGAGCCACCAGGAGTGAGGCCACCTCCATGCTATCCACCTTCTCTGGTTGAGTTGTGGGCACACCAGGAGACTGCTTGCAGAGATCCTGGTCAGGCAGCAACCGCTGGAACTCCTTCAGCTGCTCCTTCGTCATTAACTCCAAATTTTGGGCCAGCTGCTGCTGGATACTATCCGCCATCTCTGCTTCCCTGACCTGGTTTGCGAGAAGGGCCTTGTCTGCCCACCTGGACTTCTCAGTCCTGGCTTTGAGGGCATTAGGACTGATCTCTGGGGAGGGAGTGTAGTGAGGGGCATCAGGCAGGAGGAGATAAGCACTCATCCTTGGGACCAACCACCTCCCAGTGCAAGACTCCACATGGGTTGTTATCATCACCTGGTAAACTGCTGTTCAGCATTGAGAACCCACTTCGTAAGCCCCAGGGAATCTGCCAATGGATGGTTTTAGGGGAAGGGAGGTGGAGGGGAGAGGCAGGGAAAAGCACTGGAAGGAAGAATACAGAGGGGCTGGGGGATACTGGGAGGGGTCAGGTTACTGAGCAGCTGGGTCAGGGCTTGGGGCCATCAGAAGAGTGCAGGGGAGGGATAGGGGATGGGATGTTCTGGACACTCACTGTTCTGTGCTCCTCAGTCTGCCTCCTCCCAGTCCTGAAGCCCTGGAAGAAATTAACACCAGCATTGAAACTGGAATGACCTGTTTTCAGGACTGGCTATGGCAGAGTCTGCTCCCAAGTGTGTTTTGTTGTTCTGTTGACCTGCCCCGTTCTGGTTTTTCCCAGGCTTGGGTTGGGCCTGCCCCTGGCAGGTTCTGTAAAGGGACCTGCCAGTTTCTGTGACCCCTGTCCATTCAGGTCCTTTTTCTGGGTTTTCCGGGCCTGGGTCCTGCCCCTTCATGTGGCTATTTTGGCTTCTGCTGCTCGTGAACACTGTAGAGGGTTTTTCCCTCCTCCTCCTTGTCTGAGGTTCCTGGTGCCTGGTCTCCCTGGTTGAGCTCCAGGGAAAGGCTCCTGCTTTCCTGGAGGATTAAGTCTGAGAGGCAGAGAAGAAGGCAGCCTCCTGCAGTTTGTGAATAAACCTGTAAATGTTTTCCTAGGAAATCAGGCTTGCTGAAGTGCTGTGGCTTCCGGATGGAGCAAGCTCGGTGTCTGGTTCCACTCCCCAGTTTGTTGAGCTAAATGTCTAATTCAATAGAATTACTAAATAGGGTTTGTTGGGAAGCACTTCTGGAGGAGTCTGTTTCCACTGCCAAAAGCCAGGTCACCTAGGAGGAGCTGTAGGAGGCTGCAGTGACACTTGGGAAGAGAAGGCTGTCATGGATGGGGCTGCTGGGGCATGTTTCCCCTTCCACTGGCTGAGGGCTTGGGAGAGGCTGAAATCATCATGCAGGGGAAAACTGTAATGGGAAAAGACACCGGCATTCGGGCTGCCTGTCACCAATAAACACAATAAGCAATGACAGCGATTGAATCTCTATGGGCGCTTCATTCAGCTGACCCGTGATACCCTAACAGACCATCTTGCCTTCTCTTTCCAGGCCAGACTTTTTATACCAGGGCATAAACAAGGCGTGGTGAGGGCTTTGAGGTTCAGGGAGGATTAGGTCAAAGAAGCTGCAACATCCCTGTCCTGGGCAGTTAGTTGTTCCTAGGGGAGGGTGGTTGTCTGTCTCTGCCTGGAACACAAAGGCCTGGATGCCTCCAGTTGTCCACAGGCGGTAATCTCTAGCAGTGCCCCAGGAGGTAGGCTGTTTTCCTGGGAGCCAGGATGGGCCTTATCTGTAGTTTCTGAAACGAAAGCTTTAACATAAACATTACTTGCTAGACTTTTAATTTTTTACATTAAGCTAAAAGTTTCCAAGTCTTGAGTCCCCTATCAAAACCACTATGGCATTTATACATACTTTGCTGTTATTTTTAAATTATAGTTTATATTCAATATTAGTTCCAGCTATATTACTACATAGTGATTGGACAGTAATATATTTTATAAACCAATCCCCACACTATTTTGAGTACCCACCCAGCACTGCACATAGTTATTATAATGTTTTGTTCCTTATGCTACGCTTTATATCCCTGTGAATATTTTGTGATCACCAGTTTGTAATTCTTAATCCTTTCACCTTACTCACTTAATCCTCCTTTTCCTCTGGCCACCGTTATCCTCCCTCAAAGTCCCCTTCTGTACAAGTGATAGTGATAAGTCTCCGATGGAAGCAGAATCCAGAGGTTATGCACCTTCTACAGTTTAGTGAAACCATCTGATAACAGGAAAAATAAAATGGAATGAGCATTGCTTAGAAGAGTCACTATAAGTAGTCAGGAGCCTGTTAAGGACGTGAGACCTACACACACCTGCTCCTGAGCTGTCAGAGTGTTACAGAACAGACCCAGGGTGGGGAGTGAATGATATATTATTACCAAAAGGATCCCCCTTTTTCTCTGGGAGTTCACCCCACCCCGTACTAGGTTTGCCTTGCCTGCTGCCAGAGGAAAGATGTCTCTCAATGCTAGAGACTGGTGAAAAGGAAAGGAATTATTTATTTAAAAGTTATACAGACTTAGAGTAATGACTCAATGTCTTCATTAAAATACTAAAGTTCTTTAGAGTACCCACAAACACACACAGCCCTTCCTTCTCCTCTTTGCCCCGTCTGGGGTACCATATCTCAGGAAAAGAAGTAGAAGTCCGTGATTCAAGCAGTCCCTTGGTTCCAGCACCATCCGCTGTGTTGGCGCTGCAATCTCCAGTTAATCCAAAACCATGTGGCACCTTCTCACGGCCCACAAGCAAGAGCCCCTTCACCCCTTTTCTTCCAGGCAAAGTCTCTCCTGCTTCCTAAGCCATGTGACAAAAGGGAGCAACCCAAGCCTCATGGTTCTCCCCTTGCATGGCTGCCACGCCTGGGTTTAAATCTCAGTGCAAATCTTCCTCTGCAACCCCATTTCCAATTCGTCCTACAATCAGTTACACCTGCCAGCATTCCCGTATCCTTCCAGCTTTACTGGGCTGCCATAGTGAGTCCAGGCAGGTGTGGCCCCATGGCATGGAGCCAATCATCTCCAAGCTCTCACGCAGGTGCTATAACCAGGAAGAGTTGCTTCCCAGTTACATCCTGGGTGGATGTCACTCCCATGCCCCTGACTCAAAGCATGGCCACAGCTATTTAACATCTATGAACCCAGTTAAAGGCTACAGATATGTTAAATGACCATGCCAGGGGTTAATTGCAAAGCTGTTGCTATGCAAAACAGTTCTCAATGGCCCTGCTCCATGGGCCCCATCCCCCAGCTCAGACTGGTGGGGGTGAGGACATCATATATATATATTCTCTCTAATATTTCCTAAATGCTCTGAATTCTGGATCCCATTACAAATCCCTATGTGGGTCCCCTCCTTGGCTGCACCCCATTACAAGAGCTGCTCGACCTGATGCTGAGCTCTGTTCAAGGCTAAGCCATAACCATCCTGGAGCAACCACAGCTCCGTGGACACATTTGGGCTTCCTTCCTTGTAGTTTCTTTCTTAATATATTTTATTGATTATAGTATTACAGTTGTCTCATTTCCCCCGCTTCACTCCCCTCCAACCTACACACCCTGTCCTACCCACATTCCCCCCTTTTAGTTCAAGTCCATGTGTCATAAGTTCTTTAGCTTCTACATTTCCCATTCTATTATTGCCCGCCTGTCTATTTTCTACCTACCATCTAAGCTACTTATTCTCTGTACCTTCCCCCTGCCTCCTCCTCCCACTCCCCTGTTGCTAACCCTCCATGTGATCTCCATTTCTGTGGTTCTGTTCCTGTTCTAGTTGATTGCTTAGTTTGTTTTTGTTTTTGTTTTCAGTATGGTTGTTAATAATTATAAGTTTGCTGTCATTTTACTAAACATATTTTTTTTCTTCTTTTTCCTAGATAAGTCCCTTTAGCATTTCATATAAGAAGGACTTGGTGATGACGAACTCCTTTAACTTGACTTTATCTGAGAAGCACTTTATCTTCCCTTCCATTCTAAATGAAAGCTTTGCTGGATAGAGTAATCTTGGATGTAGGTCCTTGTCTTTCATGACTTGGAATACTTCTTTCCAGCCCCTTCTTGCCTGTAAGGTCTCTTTGGAGAAATCAGCTGACAGTCTGATGGGAACTCCTTTGTAGGTTACTGTCGCCTTACCTCTTGCTGCTTCTAGGATTCTCTCCTTCATTTTTACCTTGACTAATGTAATTATGATGTGCCTTGGTGTGTTTCTTCTTGGGTCCAACTTCTTTGGGACTCTCTGAGCTTCCTGGACTTCCTGGAAGTCTATTTCCTTTGCCAGACTAGGGAAGTTCCCCTTTATTATTTGTTCAAATAACTATTCCACTCGTTGCTCTTCCTTTTCCCCTTCTGGTACCCCTATAATTCGGATGTTAGAATGTTTCAAGATGTCCTGGAGGTTCCTAAGCTTCTTCTCATTTTTTTGAATTCTTCTTGCTTCATTCTTTTCTGTCTGGTTGTTTTTCTTCCTTCTGGTCCACTCCATTGATTTGAGACCCAGGTTTCTTTCCATCACTATTGGTTCCCTGTGCATTTTCCTTCATTTCACTTATTGTAGCCTTCATTTTTTCATCTAAATTGCTACCAAATTCAACCAATTCTGTGAGCATTCTGATCACCAGTGGTTTGAACTGTGCATCTGATAAGTTGGCTATCTCTTGGTTGCTTAAAGTATTGGCTCTGGAGCTTTGATTTGTTCCTCCATTTGGGCCATTTTTTTTTTGTCGGGTCGGGGGGCGGTCTGGTTGTGCCTGTTCTGTAGTGAACGGCGGAGTCTTAGATGTTCACCAGGGTGGGGCAACCCAGTCACTGGGTTGTGATGCTATCTGTGGGGGTGGGGTCCGAGAGGGAACACTGGTGCCCACTCCTCTCTCTGTCAGATTTCAGTCCCTCCCACCCCTTCTCCCAAGCAAACTGGGCCTTTCTGGTGCTAATTCCCATGTGGGTGGGCTTGTGCACATTCTAGGACCCCATGGGTCTCTCCAATGCACTCTCCTGTGAGGCTAGGAGTCTCTCTCAGCACCACAACCCCCACAGGTGTCCCCAATCAGTGTTTTAAGGCTCTGTTTCCTGGAGCTGGGACCCTGGGTTGCGTAGTCTGTCTCACTGCCCAGTTTTGCCTGGTTTATCTGTGCTCAAATGTGGGACTGCCTGGACAGCCAGCCACCTTGTGCGCACTGCCTTGCTTCACAATCACCACCTCACTAGGTCTGCTAGCTGCTTGCGTGCCCAGGGTCTGCTTATTGCGGTCTTGCGCCCAGGATGCCTTATGCACCCGGTGCCACTGCTTTTGTGCCACGACCCCTCTCTGTCTGGCTGCCCAACTCTGCTCTTCCTATTGGTCTAGATGAATGTGTGTATTTTAACTCCTTGGTTGTCTGATTTCTATACAGTTTAATTTTCTGTCAGATCTAGTTGTTATCTTATTTCTAAGTTGTTGCTGACCTCATTTTGGTTGTGCAAGGAGGCACAGTGTGTCTAACTACACTTCCATCTTGGCCGGAAGTCTTCCTTGTAGTTTTTGTCCCTTTTGTTTGCATGCTGGAAATAATCAATCTGTTTTAGCCTAGTGTCAACTGATAGTCATAGGCACCAC